TAATATTTTTGTGGAGCTAGAAATTGAACATAAGTTCTACATCCCTAATTCCCTTCTATTTTTATTTTGAGACAGTCTCTCACTAAGTTGCTAAGTTACCCAGGCTGAGGGTGAACTTCAGATTGTCCTGCCTCAGCCTCCCTGAGTGCTAGGATTATAGGTGTGTGCCAGTGCACCTAGCTTGGTTCACTTTCTGTCTCCATTGAGTTTGCTTTTCCTTCCTTATATAAGTGGAATCATAAGGCCTTCTGTATGGCTTCTTTTCTTACACTGTAGCTAGCATGAATCATTGCTTCATTCCTCTTCATGGCCCAGTACTGTTCCTCTGTGCAGATATACACATTTGATTTATCTGACTACCAGCTGATGGACATGTGGGTTGTTTCTACTTTGGAACCATCATATAGGAGACTGCTATGAGTATTATTTCCAAATCTTGATGGTATGAAAAAAAAGGGGAGAGGTTTTCTTTCAAGTAAATGAAGGAAGTTTGAAAATAAAATGACAAAACAATTTGTCTGAGAGAACTCACAGAGACCACAATCCATAAGTAGGGTTAAGAGAGAGGTGAGGAGCCCAGAAAAAAATCATGAAACGGGAGCTCCCGTACACTGCTTATGCGAGGCAGAGAATTCTGAAATCCAGGGCGAGCTAGTTAGATACAAGAAACGAGGATGGCGGGGCTGTAACTTGAGGACCAATATTAGGATGTATTTCTCCAGGCTTTTCTCAGTTGTTTCTGTTTCAAGTTTTTGTTTTATGGGTGTTTGTAAGCAGCATGCCTTTTGTGTAGAAACCTGACTTACTGGCCTTGATTAGCATCGCGTGTTCTTAGTTTGCCAAGTGAGTTTCTCACCACCATCCCGCCCTGTGCCTGCTCTCGGTGCAATCTAAGAGCTGAGTTCCTCTTGGGAGCCCCAGGGGACCTCACCCTGGGGCCGGATCCTGGAGAGCCGCTGATGTGGGCAAGGCCTTCCATTTCACGTGGTTCTGCTGGGCTTTCTCCAGCTCATGTCACGCAGATTTCAAATTACTTCGTGTTTCTTTTCTTTCACTGCTTGTGTGGAGTGCACAGATAGTTGTGACACATAACTTAGTACATGAAGAGTACAAGAAAATAAGACAGGGTTGTTACCAAAGACAAAAGGAACAGAGATCAGGGATTTGTCCTTGGTGTGCAGATGCAGCTGTCTGAGTGTCTCAGACTGCTGTAACAAAGTCCCCTGCTAGTAGTAGCTGCCGCTGACAAGTTCTGACTGGTTCCTTTGGGGAACAGACTTTCCCTTGCATAGGGATGGACATTCCTTGCCGAGCAGGAGCACCCTTATGTCTTAGCATGAGAAGGCTATTGGAGAGCCAAGAGGATGGACTCAAAAGGACACTTGTTTTTGTTTTCTCAGACACACCAGCTCAGCAGGGAGAGGTGATTTCCCACATCCCACATTACAGCATTCAGAGGCCAAACGCTTGTGTTCCCAGCATCCTTCAGTTAGGCAGGTGCATGTGAGCTGAACAGTGCCAAGGTCAAACATCTGTCCCCGACTCCGAATGAAACTCAGAGATGCTGAGTGGCAGAGATTATATGGGCTTGTTATAGTGAGGAGCAGCTGCAGGGTGGCCCCAGAGGCACCAGCAGTTCACGCTACGCTCTGGGCTCAGGGGCCCTGCCAGTGTGATCCTCAGAGACAGTGTGAGCTGAGATTTGACATTGCTCCTGAACATACCACTCTACAGGGACTGGGGGTGCTACAAGGCAGCCCCCCCCCATTTTGTTCAGAGAGGTGAGGGCAGGAAGGTCAAACGCAGCTCCTCCACTGTGCACAACTGTCTGCCTGGTGTTAAATGAGGGGATGCACTTAAAGCCTCCAAACTGTGAGGCTTATTTTCAGCACATTTTTCCTGTCACATCATGGACTTGCTACTGAGTGCTACCTGGGCAGGTCTGAGGCAACAGGAAGTACGTATTCACCTCTCAAAGCCTTCTAGGTGGGGTTAAAGGATCTCTGTTTAAGCAAAGAAAGAAATGCCTCCTGCTAGCAGAGGACTTTGTTATAGCAGTCTGGGAGACTAAGACACCAAGAGAGGCTATTTTAATAGCTGGATTTGGTTAGAGAAATCATTTGGATGGGTTAAAATGTAAACAGGAATGCGAACAAGTCACCAACTGAGGCTGACCAAAGTGCTTGTTACCAGGAAGCGTTGGTAGCAATAGTGTGAGGTTCAGACACAAATGCCTGAGACTCTCACCGGTTACTCATGTCGCTACAGTTACATTTCAGGCCCACAAAACAATCTCACCATCTTCCTCACACCTAGCTCTTGTTTGCGGGACCACATCCACCCAGGGGCCCGACCTGGAGCCTGGCTCCTCCTTGGCTTCTCCCTCTAGGCACCTGTGCCTAGCCATCTCTTCTTTCTGTGGTGATGTATGGGCTGCTGAGTCTTTTTTTTTTTTTTTTTTTTCTTTTTCCTTTTTATTGGTACCGGGGATCGAACTCACGACTGCCTGCTTGCAATGCAGGCGCTTATGCCGCTGAGCTAAATCCCCAGCCCAAGGGCTGCTGAGTCTTAACATGTGCTGCGTGGCTCGTCCTCTGGTGTGCACCATCCTGTTAGGAGGCTGGGGTCAGCTTTTGGGGGAATCTTTGCCTGAGAGCCCTCACTGCCCAGAAGAGGAATCTGGATGCTCCAGGACTAAGCAGACAATGATCTGAGAGCTCTCACAAGTGCAGACTGCCCTCTGGACCTGTGTACGCTGGGGATGGGTAGGGGTCTGGGGTTCCCAGAAAAGAGTATAAGTTGGCCCCCTTTTACCCAAACAATTCCCATACACAATGTTGAGATGCTGGATCTGCCCGACACGGCCCCTTGCTAACTTCAGGGTGGCACATTGTGCTGCAATGACCCAGTTTGTGTTTGTGTGTGGGGTCTTGAGCAGGGTACTCCCTTATAAACGAGCTCTTCAGTAGATCAGAAGTCAAGGAACATGCAGGGGAGGCTGCTAATGATGCCCTAACAATCACTTCCCCTTCTGCAACAAACTTCTTGATTTTGGGTATGTTGCATACACACAGAATACAGAAGTTTCTTGCAGCTAGCTGTGCCCGTATGATTAAAGTTCTGGCTGACTGTACATAAATCAGAGTAGCATACGTAACTTTGAGGAAGAAAAAAAACACCCCTTTCTCCGAACTTTTTTTCCTGTCTAGAATGTGGACATGATGGCTGGAACTGGAGTAGCCTTTTGGACCATGAGATGGAAGCTGCATTGAAGAACAATAGAGCAGAATTTTATACTTGAAGATGAGATCCCACAAATAACATTGAAAAGTTATGGCAATGGCTTAATGGAACAGTTAGGCCAAAAAATGGCAGAGACACACTATTTTTTATACTGTGGCACAACATTTGATTAAATTGTTTTCTGCAGTATTTTGGAAGGTTGACCACATGCCAACTGAGGCCACAGTAGTAAACAGTGACAAGGTGTGAAATAATGTGAATACTGTTCCTTGCTGTTTTTAGAAGGCCCTGAAGAGTGAGGTGAACAGGGGTTTGAACCAGACGTGACAAGCAAATATGGGAACTGAGGGCTGCAGACTGTACTCAAGCTGATTAGGATCTTAGATGTGCTGAGATGCCAACTAGTCTTCCAAACTGCAGCTATCATGAACTATGGCAATAAGGCAGGGGCTAGCAGCAAAACTTCCCTGCCACACATGTGAACCAGGTAGCTCCACAGGCCAGGGGGAGGGTGTTGCCTGTCCACCTACTCAGCTGTCAGGTGGCCTTGGGGCCGCCTCAAGGGGAGGAGGTTCCAGGAATGCAGTCTAGGTGAATCTCTATTTCTGGAATTCTGCTGGCAAAGAACCATGGAAGCAGCCAGGTGGACGTCCCCAAACTGCCCCAGGAGCAGGCAGGCTGTGCTGCTTCCCTGAAGGCCATCCTCTGCACTCTCACCTTGGATATGGCCATGTTGGGACCAGGCGTCTCCTCCAGACAGCAAACATGACTGTCAGGAGCTTGGCAGGGACTGGCTGTACTGCCAGGCCACCTCACGCCCTGGGAGCAGGGTAGGGCAGGGCCTCTGGGCTTCCTTTCCCCTTTCCCATGGATGAGGGGTCCCTGGTTGTTTTGGTTCTACCTCACTATGCCTTGTGGGTTGTGTTGGGGGAAGATAACTTGCCTTTTAGTTTTTAAGTCATTAGACCATAAAAAGCCACCAAGAGCAAATGAGGAGCAATGCAAATCACCACAAAGTGGTTTTAGTTTTAGCTTTGTGCTGTGACTGGGTGGCCTTTGTTCCCTTTGGGGAGAGGTGGCGTGGGCTTTGTGTGGGGGGAAGAAGGGCAGCTGCAGGGCTGAGCTGTGCCAGAGTCCATCAACTGTCCCTCAAACTCATTCTCCCCTTATTTCTCAGAAGCAAACACCTGAATTTTAGTTAAGCACATAGTTTCTTGGAATAAAAATGATTCCTTCACAACAGATTTGGCCCTGTTGTTGTCTTGTGCAACCGGATGTACAGCATCCAAAAGATGTCCCTTAAGGGGAGGGGTCTGCTCCTGTCCTCCCTGCTCCTCCACGCTGCCTAGCACTTGAACAAGGCTGGCAGCCACCTTGGACCTCGAGGTAGACAGTATAGTTTGTGGGTGGCAGATCATCATGCTGGATAGAGCTGGGACCCTGCTGGTCACAGAGCCACACTGGTAGTCTGCACGATGGCAGGTACACTTGTACTCAGTGTAAGCTACGGCTGTCATGACAGTGGAACCGAATTCTCATCTAGAATCTGCTACCCAATGGGAAGGCAGAGACAGGTAGACTGGAGGGAAGGTGAGATGGGCCAAGTACTCTCCTATGAAAGAGGTGTCAGGAAAAACTAACAAAACAAGAACCCCTCAAAACAAAAACAAAAAACAAACAAAAAAAACCCCCAAACAAAATAAGGAAACATTTACAGAAATTTGACATTCATAATAAAAAATGTCAACAGACAATAATAGTGTTGCATAGCTTGAGTGTTTTTATATTGATTACGTTGTTTTTCAGTAGTCACTGACAGGTCAGAATGAAAAACATTCCACATTTACACAGAAAAATATTGCTCATCAGTTAAGATATTTTTCAAAACACAATCCTTAACACAATCCTTTGGTTGCTCCAAACATTATGTGAGCTCTTCAGATGGCAGGCTCAGCCTGGCATCATCTGAATGCCAGTTTGGTTTCCCAGGCTGATGTCACAGAGGCATTGCCATCTTCACTGACACTGTTCTCAGCCAGGCTGACAGGCAAAAGTCAGAGGGCCCCAGTCCTTGTTTCCCCATCCAACAATGCCGAGGCCTGGGGCCAACCTTACAGGGAAGTCACAGAAATGAGATGCATCTGTCTCTGGCAGCCGTGCAGAGGTGATGACGGGTTCCTTCTGCTTCTCAGGAGTATCAGAGCCCCAGGTCGGCAGGTCTTGAGCTCACTTCCTCCTGTGTAATCATCCCCTTTTGCATAAAAGGAAACTAAGGGTGCTGTATCTTGCTAAGTCCAGAACTGGTCGAGTCCTGCTTCTTACAGTTTCCTTACAGAAACCTCTTTGCTGCTTCTTGCTGCCCTAAATAATAATTTCTGAGGTACAAAAACAAGCCAACTGGCAACAGAGCAGCAATAGCATCTACACTAATTTCAGAGCAGATTTAAGTAACAATTATTGTGGCAGGAGACGAAAGACAGGTACTGGTTGGGGATTCAACTATCCCAGCTTCTCAGCCCAATCAAATTGAGCTGAATCTTTTCTTTGCTAAGTCAAACTAGGGAGTGCAGGTTCTAGAGAGTGACACCAGTGGGTTCCTCTCATCCTAATTAAGTTTGTACAGCAGTATGTCTAATTAAATCTTCTGAAAGCACCAGAAATGTCTTCTCCATTCCCATTCACCCAACTTCCTAGGCAAAATATTTACCCTGACTCTGATGTGGTGCTTTACTCAGGATGAAAAAAACAAAAGAGCTGTTTTTTTTTTTTTTTTTTGTGGAACCAGGGATCAAACTCACAACCTTGCACTTGCCAAGCAGGTGCTTATGCCGCTGAGCTAAATCCCCAGTCCCAAAAGAGCTTCTTGAGAATAATTGCAGACCTTTATAAGGGGGCTATGGATTTTTACTAGCAATATATATAGTGTTAGGTATCTTGCTCCTTTAGCTAATTTTCTTGTCTTGTTCTTCCCAGGATTTCACAGATTTTCTTCTTTGACAACATCCGCAGGGTCTGAACTGCTGGCCTGCACAGCCTCAGAGATACATAGAAATCTATGTAACCACAATGACAGCATTTCTGCAGCCACATTAAACAATTTGTTTAAAAAATAATAAACCACCACCTTTAAAGACATTTAGACTTCTCAAGCTTTTACACACAGGGTGGTGGTATATTTTTACAGAGTGGCTAAATTTGCTAAATATCCTGATGGCATTTAAATTTATGCCAGTGCTCCTTCCTCCTCTTTTTTGATGTTTTGCTGAGAGCATTTTCTCTGGGTTCAGACTGATCAAAGGTGCTGGGGTGACATTCTTTGCACTTCTGTTCCATGCTAGAGGAACATTTTTCTCTCATAAAACCTTGCTGGACTCCACTTCTGTTTGATGTGTTTTGGGGCTAATGGTGGAGAAATTAGCTTTTCCAAGTAGCCTATCCAAGGGCACTGTCTGTTTATACTCTGGCAGATGAAAATTCACATTCACTGCATGATCCTACTCAGATTTCATGTCCAGCCTGAGTGGCTAGGTACTGGTTTTCTTATTTTATAGATCAGGGAAATGCAGTATAGTTCCTAGGTACCTCAGGTGGAGAGCTAGTTAGTGTGGAGTGGGAGCAGGAATTCAATCTCCCAGCCCTCAGTACTAGGCTTTGCATTATTTTCCTGCTACAGAGCATACGGTTCCACACCAGCAACTGCCTCCTTCTACCCAGGCCATTTAGCAGTAAAATATGTGCAGGGAAAAGACAGGAAGTGTGCAAGTAAACACAAGTAAATATGAAGGATCAATAGATAAAGAACCTTTAGAAACCTGGTCCTGTTGGGAGGTCCTTATCACTCCTGTGACCAGGAAATGATTCAATTGGTCCAGAGTTTCCTAATATTAAAATGGTTTCATCCATGTGGGCTATAATATGAAAGCGTTCTATAAATACCATGAACAAACTGGCTTAGTTTCCTTTTTTGAATACACAAAAACTGCTATTTAAAAATACCACGTTAAAATGTTTATGTAATTTATTTTCCTTAAATAATATTTTGCTACAATCCTGCCACAAATTTTTAAAAAAATTTAACATAGTATTCACAAAAGCAGAATTCTTTAGGACAATCAAAATCCTGGGGTACTTAGAATAAATTAACATCGAATTGTGTTTCTATTCAGACAGTTTGATCCTCTCCTCTGAAATGAAATGGAGACCATTGTAACTGAGGGTGAATGCGTACATTTGTTCTTCTGTACAGAGACTCATTCTTTATATAAACTCAATGGTAATTTGAATCAAGTTAGGAATCCTGAGAAACACTCACCCATGGAGGGGCACACACACGCGCGCACGCACACACATGTACACATCCACAGGGAACCCTTGAGATGCAGGGTTTCCCATGGTATCTTACTAGCAGGTCTTTTCTCAAAAGGGCCAAAGATTCTGAATGCTATCATCCCCTCCCACTCAGGAAAATCCTCCTGTCGAGTGTGATAGCATGACGTAGCAGCAATCCATGGAGGAGATTCAGTAGTCAGGGATCCAGTCTTGCAGTCTGAGTTTACAGTAAGAGGCAAGCGGAGGCAAGAGACACACCTGCTTCTGAAGCTAAGACGGGGATCACGCCAGACCCTCAGCTGGAGCTGGCCTGGACAAACATCACTGGCTGCTGGGCTGGCAGGCTGTGAATGGAGGGGCTGCTCTGGATGTGGCCTCAGGAACTGAGTACTGACAGGGGAGGAGCGGGGGAGGGTCAGCAGAGGCAACTCTCGGCCTTCAGCCCGATTCCTGGTGCCCTGGGTTGGTGCAGGGGTGTGGGTGACTGAGCTGCTCTGCTCCACTTGGGAGCACAGGACACTCAGCACTCAGCATCCTGCACACGATACAATACCTGAGCAACCTGCCACAGCCACACCAGCTGGCATCTGGGAGGTGTGCAGTGCTGCAGGTGAACCCTCCCAGGTGCCCAAGGATGGCTGACACGGGACGGTGATATGTAGGGAAGAAGGTGGCAGGACAGGTCCTACATCGAAGTCCCCTTGTGCTTCTTTCTCTGGGCTTAAAGGCAGCCGTAGTTGCATGCGTATCTATACCAGCCCCTATGTACATGATACCTTTTCTATAGAAACTTAAAGTGCCTGGGTTCGAATATGCTCATTCCCTTCCCACAGCTCCTGGTTCCTCCTTGGGCCTCCAGAGGAAGGCATGTCCCCCTCTCTTTAGAAGGGTGCCTTTGGGGACAAGGAATGACGCTTCACAGTTGTCTTAACTGGGATCCAGCATCTGGACTACGCCTTCTTCAAACACACGAAGAATCGCTTCACACACAAACTTGTACTGGCTCTGGAAAAGGAGAGACAGCTGTCAAGTCCAAGGCCTCCAGGAACACCACGTCACAACACGCACACAAGTCTCCCCATCATTTCTAGCTGTTTCCTGAGTGCCAACCTTAGGCCACATGCCAGGGAAGAGCGCAGGCCATGCATCTGTGTGGCCTCCTAACTCCTACATGGGGTGAGCTGCCCCAGACAGACATGGGGGGCGGGTTACCGAAGTGGGATGGGGGAGGAGTGGCCATCTGGGGCAAGTGGGGATGGAGCAAAGGTCCCCAAAGTGTGGCTCCTCATGTCAGCAACAGTATGGAAGCCCTGACGAGGACAGTCCATTTCTGAGAAGCCTAGGCAGGGTCCCAAGGTCCTGTCCTGGAACTCCCAAGCCAGTGTGTGGGGGCTAGGAAATGGGCCAGGATCTGGCTGTGGGGCACTGTACTAGTGGGCAAGGAGTCTGGGTCTTGTGTTCCCCAGGGGAGCCACTGACAGATGCTCTGCGGTCATCTCTCAGGAGCCATGGGTGACTGGCTCCAGGACAACCTGCAGACACCCAAATCCACAGCTGCTCAAATCTCTTACATATTCTCCTGCATACTGAAATCTTCTCTAGACACTTACAATACCAACATGATGTAAATCGTTGTTATATCGTACTGTTTAAAGAATAAGGATGTGAAAATAGGTTGAATGTATTCCTTACAGACACAAGCTGTCCTAATAGAATGGTACTTCCATTTATGAACTTAATTTTTTTATAATTTGGGGGAAGATGAATGTTTTCATGTTTGTGTAGGGAAGATGGCTGTGGTCTGTTTGTCACCTGATGCAGAAATTGTGAACTGAACTGTCTGCAAACATCAGTGCTTGTGTACCAAGGTGTTACTCTCTCTTTTTTTTTTTTAAATCAATTAAAGTCCTCAATTAAGTCTTCAGGTATGGAACCCACAGATGCACAGCACTGACTATATTATTAACAAACACCCAAGAAGTCTGTTTTACAAATGTGAACAAGGGAAAAACCAGAGCATTTAGATAAAATTTCTCCAGCTAGGAAAATCTACCAAGGTGATGGACTCTTTCTTTTTTAACTACAAATGAGGTCTTCATACCACAAAACAGGGAAGAGAATGGTGTTAAACACAAAAGGTGGTTTTTTCTCTTATCCAGATTACCTGGTTATGAACATAAAACTATAAGGATTCAGTCTAGTAGGGATATCTTATGAACTTTGTGCACAAGCGTGTGAGGACATAGAGCTGGCTAGGACACCGAGTTCCTTTTCCTGTCTTTGCTAATTCTTTGGCACCAACTTTAGGAATGGTGTCCCAGTGGCCACTCCTCCAGAAAGTCTTCCTTGACTTTCTGAAGTCTGCTTTGGACACTTACCGTGTGCTCTTAGACACCTTTGAACTTCTCCCGCTGCTGCTGAGATTTGTAACAGACTAATCCAGTTCTATTAGATACACTTTGGGGTCTCCTCTACTTGCATAATTATCTGCTGAATGAATGAACAAATGTGGGGTGGTGACCTACATTTTGTAGATGGGGAAACTGAGGCTTGGAGAGAGGGTAAGAGACTATCCAAAAGTCACTCAAAACATACAAGAGCCTGAATCATGCTCTTTCTACACCACATTGAGGCTTTTGAAATTCCACAGTCTTGAGCATATCTGCAGGGCCAAGTACCCAGGCACAAAGCAGGTGGACGAGAGCCCACAGGATGAGAGGAGGGAAGTACTGCGGTGAAAGCTTCAATGACCTTGCTTTACACTGATGGGCAAACGTCAAGGCAGATGTCACAGGCAGCAAAATACAGGAGTCAGATGGGTGTGGACTCTGGAGTTGTGGATTATCTGACAAGATTTAGGACCTCAGGCAAGGACTCCATCCTCTGAGCCTCAGTCTCTTGACCCACAGAATCTTCCTCAAGCCCGGTTCAGTGCAAGAGTTAAGGAAGTGCTGACCACTACTACTATTTTAACTACTGAATTTCTACTCACTGATGTCTGCACCATCATGGCACGCTGGTCTCGCATTTTTCGGACAATATCCAATGGACAAACTGGTAGATTTTTCTCAATTAAGCACATGGCTGTTTCCATAGTGACCAACACACCAGTTCGACCTATTCCAGCACTGGAAAGGGGAGAGAAGCAGAGTCTTGTGATCTACCCAAGCAGCGGTTCCACACTGCCCAGCTGAACCTCTAACTAGTGCCCAAGTTAACTCAGAAGGAGCCTGGGCTTCAAGAATACAAAGCATGGTCAGGTGTGGTGGTGCATGCCTGTAATCCCAGCACTCTGGGAGGCTCAGACAGGAGGACCAAAGGTTTGAGCCCAGCTCAGGCAACTGAGCAAGATCCTATCTCAAACTTAAACAACAACAACAACAACAAAACCCAAAGAGAAATGTAGCTCAGTGTGAAGGGTCTGGGTTCAGTTTCTAGTACCAGCAAAATGAAACAACCAAAAATAATATAAAGCACAGAGTCTCGGTTGTCTAAGACTGGCAGAAAAAAAGTTCATCCTCATGGATCCTGAGACTGGGGGCTTAATGATCAATGAAGAGAAATCAAGTCACCATTAAATAAATCCCACCTCCCTTTCTTATTCACAGATGGTGTGCAGGCCAGTAGACTTGACACCAGTAGGACAGATGTGGGTAGGACATTCCTCTTTATAGCTTTGGGCTATACTCGAATCTTTATTTCAGAAAATTCCAAATCTGTAGAAATTGTTAAGAAAACAAAATAGGGCTTGGTAAAAGCCTATGATTTTACGGGATTTAGGGTGGGTTAGATGTCTACTAACTACTCCAGGCCTCTCCCAAGGGGTGCATGTATAAAAATAAAGCAAAGTAGAACAAGTCATATTTTGTACCTGCAGTGAACTAAGACCGGCTCACCATCCACCCGCAGGGACCTCACAGAGTTCACAAATTCCAGAAAGTCTGAGGAGTCATCAGGCACACCGTGGTCGGGCCATGCCACATACTGTAGATGTGTCACTGTGTGTTCCTCCCCGGTCTGTGAAGATGGAGTGGGTTGGGTGAGTCAATCTAGACGGTGGGCCCTGCCTCTTCGCTGTCAGCCAGGTGGCCCAGTCCCTAGCGTGCTCTCCCCGCTGTGCACAGCCCTGCTATGGCCTGCCATCCCGCTGTCCTCCCACCCCTCAGTCTCCTCTGGCAGAGTGGCATTCCCTCTCTCTGGCACAGTGATTTCTTTCCGGTGCTCCTATGGTACTTTGCCATGTGGGCCATTTTATACTAAATGACTCTGGTGAGACACGTGTAGCATCATGTTTGCCATTTAACCATTTTAAAAGGTAAATTTTAGGGGCATTATGTATATTCACAATGTTGTACTCATCACTACTATTTCCAGAACTTTGTTCTGTCACTCAAACTCTGTACCCATTATATTATAACTTCCCACTCTCCCTCCTCCCGAAGGCCCTGGCAACTACCATTTTCCTTTCTGTCTGTGTGAATTTCATATTCTAGGTATGTCACACAAATGGGACCCTAAGCATTTGTTCTTCTGTGACTGGCTTATTTCACTTAGCATAATGTCAAGGTTCTTCCGTGTTGTATGTAGCTAGTGTCAGAATGTCCTCGCTTTGTAAGGCTTAACACTGGTTATGGCATGGATGTACCCATTCTGTGTGTCCATCATCCCTCTGCCAACAGCCCCACCCCCTTGTGAATGGTTTTGTCATATACAGCAGCCTGGCTCCCTGATAGGCTATCCTGTTTGTTTACCGGTATCCTCATCAGGTTCAAACAGAGCAGACACGGTAGGGTGGCCCCACCTGGGCTCACAGTAGCTGCTGCCTTTCTATCTATTCCTGCTTACCTCAGTGTTTGTGATTAGCATTTCTCGGGACACATAGGCGATGGTACAGTCCTCTGACTGACACCGGATGTGAAAGATGCCGTGGTCCATAACATCAGGGGGGTCAGGCCAGTACTGGTGACATTTGGTCTGTAAGAAACCATGGTGTGTGTGGGCCTCCTCCGTGGGGGTGCACCAGGGTAGTTAACCAGACAGACAGACCAGCCAGGCATCCTGCCAGGTAGACCCAGTGAGAGCCAACATGGGGAGAGAACTTGGGTAAGCCCATGTGCTGTGGACTTATTCTGGGCTGGGGCAAAGAGGAACCTCCATCCTCTTCAGCTTTCCAGGGGCCAACCAGGCCGGGGTCCACAGCTACAGGAGGAGAAGAGACTCTTTCCCTACCTCTCCAGGACTCATTTGACAGAAGGATAAGAGAGGCCACAGATGCAGGCTAACAACTCCATCCACTCCCCTACCCACACCCCTACCCTCTCAGGCAGGGCAGTCAAGAGCGTGCAATTGGGTGTTAACAGGACTCCTCCTCCACTTGTCAGATGGGTGACTTCAAAGGAGTCAACTCTATTGTCACTTGGAAGATAGAGGCCACACCTGCCACCTCTCCACCCGGACAGTAGCAGAGGCTGGAGAGGTTGTGCAGCGCTGCTCTTCCCTTGACAGTCAGGTTAGTGGTGGCCACCGTTACTGCTGTTGTTATGGGATCTACAGCAACCTAAATAAGGATGGTCAAAGATTCCCCAAAAATCTAAATCAGGAAATTCCTAAGCTGAAAAAGAAATATCCTAACATTTCCCAGGCCCTCAAAGACTTTCATAGATAATTCTCCTTGGAACCAAGACTCCCTGTAGAGCAGACTAGGAACCTGGAGGATTATTTCAAGGCCACAGCTGGTGTGACACAGTCCAGGGCTCATCCTGCAGCACTCCACAGCATCTCCTGCTATGACTGTGGCTTTCCCACAGGGTGGCTCACGCCACCATCTTTCTGGTGTTCTGTTCCCTTTTAAGGCCTGCAGCTTCCTTCATAGGCCACTGTGGCTCCTGGCTCTGGCTTCTAAGCCAAATGCAAAGCTACACTGTCATCCTATCATAGTTCCACCATTAGTCAAATTCTGACTCTACAATTTTTTAAAGGGTAGCGCATCCTTTATGTTCCCAGGATGGTCTCAAATTCCTAGACTTGAGAGATCTTCTTGCCTCAACCGGGACTGCAGGCATGAGACACCAAGCCTTACTAAAAACGAAAAAAATTTCCCCAAGCCTACAGTTAGACCATCGTAAGTAAAAATTACACTTGTTTACAGTGAAAAGGTAGCGTAACCAACAGGCACATGGAATTTGTCTGGAAACAGCTTTTCCAGCCTTATTTTAAATATCACAGTGAATATCTGAAATGAAAGTATGCTGCTGGGAAGCTGGAATTGAGAATTTACTTTGAAATGGAGAATGTCAGTATCTTGGTTAGAAGCCACTTCCCAACTTCCCTTAGGCAGGAAGCGGCTGCTATTTGTAGGACTGCAGACAGAGTCTATAAACACAGGCTCTGTATCCATCTGTCTGTCTCTCTTCACCTGTACAGGAGGCAAAAACTGCCCTGTAGGCTGCCTAGGCTCTCACCCACAGCGGGAAGATATGCCTGAAGGATATTCATTGTGCAGTGAGTGATAGGAACTGGACTCCTTCTTGATCTCTGATCAGTAGATTTTAGGTTTCTGGATCTGAAAGCATGGGGGTGGGTAGTGGAAAAACAAGAGGTTTGTGGAGGTACTGAGTTTTAATCCTGGTTAATCAGATCTACTAACCAACTGTGTAATCTTGAGCATGACTGTGCATTTGGAAACCCAGTGTCCACACAGCTGCTGCTGGTGTGGAGCATTCTCACTTAGCCCATTTTATCTTGGGATTGAAACAATTCCCTGAGGTGGGTGCTCTGTTGTCCACATGAAGAAAACAAGACTCAAAGAATGCATTGACCTGTATCAGATCTTATGTTCAGGAATGAGGGCAGAACCCAAGTTACACTGTGTAGCTATGAATGCAGCCTGGTGGATATGAAATGGAAAGAAATTGCAGCTCTGCAGGTGGTGAGACGGAAGAGGTAATGTCCGTAAGGCCTGGCTCTGCAGGGAGGAGAGGGCGATGGACAGTGCAGCTGGTCTGTGGGCAACTGGCTCCTGACACGCAATCACAGCAGATGCCGCCAGAAGAGCTCAGAATGATGTCTTTCTGGGAATTCACAGGCCGAGTGGAGACTGTTTTCTTCCAGCTGCAAGCTATCATGTGGTTTTGCAAAGGGAGTTCAGGGAGGGAAAGCTGACTGCTGCAGTAGCCTTAGAAAAGAGTGTGCTCATGTGTGCAGAAGGAATGTGCTGAAGGCTGGGTTCCTGGTGGGGAAAGAGCATTACCTCGGGAATACAGAGCAGCTGGGTTTTGACGGGATGGTCACTGACCCAACAGAGAAGGTTTTATGGTGAAAAACTTGCTATCTTTCTGAGACAACAAGCAATTTTGAGCATGCGAAAGTGAGGTGGACTTGGCATGGTATTTCCTCGAGCCATTCTCAAATTTGGTAGCAGTTATGTGTGTCTTTAAAGAAAAGCACCGGTAGAGGTGAGTCACGGATGAGGTAGAACAGATGCCCTGGATTCAGGCTGATGCTTCCAACATGAGTGAGGCAAGGAGCCTGCCGAGGGCTTGAGGGTAAAATGCAGTACTAGGCTGACCTCTGGCAATGTCTCTCTCAAAGCTGTGTCCCCAAGGGAGGCTGCGGATGGGAGAAATATAAAGGCTCTGAGGGCAGGCATCACCATGGGGACTGAGGAAAGGAAATGTGTGAGTTGCAGATGGTCAGTGGTGGCAGAGCATGGCAAGCAGATATGGGAAATGGGGGAAAAGGAAGAGTCAAGGCCTATTTTTAGCTTGGGTGACTGAGCAGATTTACGCCAGCCAGGATGGTGGGTCCGAGGGCTTGGCTGCACGTGTGAGCACACCTTGGGCTGGTGACTTTGGGCAACTGATTGCTATGTGAGGGTACCTGGGTAGATGTGTCCTGTCAGGAAGTGAAGACAGGGTTGGGATCAGATGATGAAGGAGTCAGTGCCCAGCTCCATTTGCTGGATCATCGAGTAGGCTGGACTAAACGTGAGTCAAAAGTAAGCTCCCAGCAGAGGAAGCTTATAGCGCTGAGCACACTTTACCAAACACACTGTGACAAACAGCAGGCAACACCTAATAGCACTGCGCTGTCCCAAAGCTCTTCTCACCACTCTGCATCACCCTCATGACCATTGGGGCCTGTCAGTATTACTCTGGAGTGACAAATCCATTTGTCTCTGGCCCAGCAGGGTGAGGACAAAAAGGATGGGGAATCACCACACAGAACACCTGCCATGGGCAGCTCCAGTGTAGTGTGCTCTTACCTTCCAAAGCACCCAAGACATGAGCATTACCTTCTGTCTAGGGATAATAAAACTCAGGCTTACAATCTGGTGTGAGGCTATACAGTTAAAAGTGATGGCTCCAGGATTTCAATGCCTCCTCTGACCCAGGAGTCCCCCCTACCAATAGAACAACATAGGAGAAAGCAAAGAGGATATGCTGTAAATTCTATCACTTGGAAAAGAAGAGGGGCGAAGCTGCTGCCTGGAACAACCAACTCTGGAAAAAGTACAGGGTGTGACGAGGAGGAGACACGGACAAAGAGCCTGGTCTCCGGGAGTCAGTAACAGGAGCAGGGGAAACATGCACCCTGGAATTTGGAAGATCAGTTTCTAAAACTGATAAACAAGAGGAAAAGTCCCCAGGGCCAGAGATGCAAAAGGGAAAAGGGAATGGGAGGCCTGGAAGATGAGAGTGTCTCCTACAGGATACTGATGGAGCTACAGATGAGTTCGGTCAGGGAGAAAGGACAAGCAACAAAGAAAGGTGCCAGGTCACATGGGGACCTCTGACGAGCTCAGGTTCAAAGCAAACACCAACAAAAGAGAGGGAAGGCAAAGCATGGAGCAGGAGGGGCAGGACCTGGATGAGTACGTGGAGCAGAAAAGGTCTTTTCTCCTGAGCGGGACCAAGTGGAGCAAGGGAAGGAAGGGGCGGTTGTCCAGGGTGGATCATCTGTCACCAAGCTGTTCCTGTGGGGAGCGCTCCTTCCTCTCAGAAGAATGATCGTCCAGTTGGAAATGGGAAAGAGAAGCCCAACACAGATAAGCAGCTGGTGACAGCACGGAGCTGCCTGAATAGATTCAGGTGTTGGCTCTAAGAAGTACCATTATAAACCAAAAGCCTCATAGGAGAGTAGGGTGGCACCTCCATAAACTGCTGCCTAGGAAATCTGAGCACGAGCAACCAAAGTAAGAGAATAAGGGAGGGCAGTAGAATAGGAAATCAAAGGACCACTGTCTACTGTCTGAAGTTCCAGTGTGGGATGTCGAGGGTGGCTTACCGGCGGGACATTAGGTGGTGGAGAACAGACCAGCGTGTCGGGAAAGGACTTTTGTCTCATGTGGTATTTCAGAGTGTGCCAAGGAGAGAACCTCAGTTTGGGTCTAGAACCACTTCAACATTACTTTTACTTTTATAATAGAGACCAAGAGTGAGAAAGTGCAGGCTTCAAGTTGAGTCTGGAGGGCTCTCTGGAAAGCAAGAGTGTTCAGAATTTGCTAATGTTTTGTTTTGTAGCCTTTATATTTTTCTATATATCTTCTATTTATGACAATGGATACCAACTTCTACTTAAGAAATATGTTTCGAAGGAAATTTATTATTATCAACAAAAGGTGAGTCCATTTAAAGAAAAAGAGTAAGACTGAAAAACACATATAGTTCAGGTCTAGTAACAGTCATTAAGGTAGAACTGAAATTACTACTGTTGTTACTGCTAATATTTATATGTTTACTACATGGCAACCATTCTTCCTAGCGGTTTCCTACATGAATTCATTCAGTTTTCCCACAATCCAACGAAGTAGGTTGGGTTTTATTTCACTTTATGGAGTAGATCAGCCACACGGGTAGAAGTAGAGACAAGATTCGAACTCAGGATGGCTGCAGAGTATGTCTCCCTATCCCCCACACCACAGACACAGAGAGCTGTAGGCACTGAGAAAACTAGGGAGGGACGGTGAGCCCGCTGGGGTTCCTTAAATTCAAAAAGGGTCCATCTCACCTTCATTTCTCATAAAAACAGAATTTAAAAACTAACTACAACTAAAATAGATAAGAATGAGACTTCCAGACAAAGAGATCAGGTGGTACCAGAGCTGTTGCATAGTGATTTCAGCTGAGCCTCAGACAGTCTCTCTGGTAACTAGGTAGAGGAGATGGAGAAACAGGAGATGAGAACAGAGCTGTCAGGATTTGCAGCATTCAGGAGGAGCTGCTCCTGCCTCCTGAGACACTTACACTTTTCTGTCAGTCATTTAAGTGATAAGAAAACATTCTGATCAAGCCTGAGTAACACAAAGTGAGAAATGAGCTAACACAAAGAAATAAGGAAGCCCCACAGAGCTTCTTAAAGGACACAACTGAGGACTGAGTCCAACCAATGAGGATAATAACAGCACCGAAGCAGTATCTGTTGAACACGTGTGATACAGTTCTCTAAGCCCTTTATGTGTACTGCCTCCGGCTTCAGCAACCCTTCAAAGGAGGCACTGTTACTATCTTCATGGAACATTCAGGACAGCTGAGGGTGAGAGATGCTACTTTCTCAAAAGGAACCGTGCTTTCAGTCTAGTCTGGTTCTAGGGTGCTGGATTAAGGTTCCAAGAGTCAAGGGCATTAGTACTGTGGTGATTAAGGTGGAGTTCCAGCTTCGCTGGCTTTGGGAATTGCCCTGGGCATTGCTGGAGCACACTTCCAGGTATGTCTGGCTGGGTCACACAGGTATTGCCTTAGGATCTGTGACCTTCAACCCTTGGTGCTCTGGCACTGTTCCCCTCTTCTGCTTCTTGGCTGCCAAGAACTAAGCAACCTTGCTTTGCCACACCCTTCTGGTATGATGTTTCTGGTATGACTTGGAGTCAGATGACTACAGATGGAAACTGTCAACCAAATTAAACTTTTCTTTTAAATTGTGGGAATCAGGCACTGTGTCCAGCAGCAGAAAACCTGATTCATATAGGAAATTGGTACCAGGAGTTGGGTTGGTGCTATGTCTATACCTCACTATGTAGTTTTGAAGGCACTGGAACTGGTTTGTGAAAGTTTAGAAAGCTCTGGCGACATGGGCTATAGAAATATTCAACTGCCTTAATAGTTTAATGGGCAGGTGACTCCAGTCAGAGCTCAAAAAACCTGAATACTGACAGTGAAGGCCAGGATCAGGTGATTTCAGTTGAAAACAAGGACTCCACTGGCAGATGGATTAGAGGCTGTGTGTCACACTCAGGCTGGAAATTTGTCTTCATTCTGCCCATGTCCTGAGACTATGCAGGAAACTGAGATTGAGGGCACTGGATAATCTGTAACGGAGATTTTACAATAATCTAACATTTAGGCTGTGGCATTGGCATTGGCATTGGCATTATTGGCTACTTTTAGCTAGATTTGTAATAAGAATTGTGGGCCAAAAGCCAAGCAAAATTATTTTGAAAAACATAAATTTTGACCCAGAAAGAACCTTGTATAAAGTTGAGGCCAAAGGAGGTGTGGCTAGCAAAGAGGTTCATATCATTAAAAAGAAAGCAGTTTGTACAGGAACAAGAAGAAAGGTGAGGGCACCTCATTAACCAGCAAGACCTCAGGTATTGCAAGGACAAGGGTGCAAAAGTTTAAACCTTTCCTTTGAGAAGACAGTCCCTGGAATGGGCGTGTTTATCCTATACTAGTGGTGGCGAACCTATGGCATGCATGTTGGTATGTGTTTTGTTTTGTTTTGGTATTGGCAATTGAATTCAAGACCTGCTTTCCAGGCAGGTGCTGTGCTGATAAATTATATCCTGGCCCATACTATGTTAAGATCAAAGATGCTAAAGCAGAGTTGTGTTTTCTAAACTAAAAATTCAGTATTCAGGTTTAAGTGGTATTGGTATTTTGTAATAAATAAGTGAGTTTTGAGTTACAGTTTGAGCACTTGGTCTCTAAAAGGTTCACCATCACTGCCCTATGGCACTGCACCTTGGGAACATGTAACCTGTTTTTGATTTTTACAGAGCTTCAGAACAAGAGGCTGCCTTGAGACTCAGAAGGGACTTGAACTTTTGAAATATGCTGGAACTGTTGAGATGGGGACAGGACTATTGTATTTCTGGTTGTATGAGAGATAGTTATGTTAGGTCGAATTATGAATTTGCTATTGTTTTTATTTGTAGATTAAGTCTGGTTTAAGGAGATATCTTTGGGTGTGAAGTTGACAAGTGCATTATGACTCTCAATCCTGATACGTCAACTTTACTGGGTTAAGAAACGGCTACTAGATTAGAAAGTACGCTCCTGGGTAAGCCATGGTTTTGAATAGTACAAATGGTCTCTCACCCATTCTTCCCTGGTACTGTTCTTGACCACCATGAAATAAACATCTTTGCTCTGTCTGCCATGATGTCCCTTTTTGGGACTGTCTGTCCCTGTTTTACTATTGGCATAATCCTCCCAAACCATAAGCTAAATGGAACATTTCCTTCTGTAAATTATGAGTGCTGGATATTGTGTTCCAGCAATGGGAAAATTGACCAGCACAAGTGTTAAAGGGGAGAAACGGACTCAGAGCTGAAATTAGGACAAGGTCCACATGCTTTCTGTTAACCATGATCTTAATGGAAGCCCAGGGTTATTTTCAGGTAACTGAAGGGGTATCACACAGAGTAGAGGGGAATGTAGATTGTGTTTTCTCTGTTGCACAACTAAATAAGGTGGAAGTTAAAAGTGACCCATTCATTGTGAAAAGAAATTTTTAAAAAGCTAGAGCTGAGCACCCACAAGACAGACTCAAAGTATTTCAGCAGAGTTGGTAAGCTATCCGTCTGGGAAAACACATGTAAAAGTTCTCTGCTACCTATGGGACTCCAGAATTAGTAGGAAATCTTAGATATTGTTTCAAATGAGAAAATAGTAGACTGTTCTCCAAAGTACTAGCCATTCCAATTCCTGTGTAACCTCAGTTTCAACATGATTATGGCATTCTGAACTACACACTGGGGAGGAAATCTTTAGAGAAAATGGCATGCACACTATCAGGTGGTTCAAAATGCTATTTGATTTTGGCATGTGTTTCTGAATACACACTTCATAATGAACATATGCAGATGTATCCAGAAGGTAGGGATTTCATGATAAAAGTATCTTTCACACACTGACTTCCGTTATGTAAACAGTGATCTGTTTTTGTGGAAAATGGTACGGAATTCTTCTTACTTTTTACAGCCACTATTTATGCGGTACACTGCTCCTTCAGCTCCTGCACTTTCTTGGAAGGGTGAAGCCACAACTAACACACAGTTTTGTGGCAGAGAGGATGAGGCAAGAGGAAATTGCCTTCTGGCTTGTTAAAATGGACCCTTCCCTGACTGTCTTCCAAGAGGAAGATAGTCCTTGGAGGTGTCTATTTGGTCCAAACAGGAGATTTATGGGTCACATGGGGGCTGAACCAGTACCCCTATTCCAGCCCTGGGCTCTACGTTCTGCACGGCACAGCACCACACTGCATACATCTGGACTGAAAACCAAGCCACTTACCCGTCCTCGCTCTGTGAGCGTTGTCAACATGACAATCAGGGACAACTTCTGATCCCAGACGACTTGCCAAAATTGTGCACAGGTATGTGGCAGGGGTCCCTGAGTGGCAATATACTTGTTTGCAAGGTTAGCAGCAGGAATTTCCATCTGATAAGAGATTGGTGAAGTATTAGAAGCTGTGATTGCTGCAAAGTAGCCAAACTTAAAAACTTCTCTTGCTAACTTACATTATGCCAGGAAAATATTTATCAATTTACAGTGAATGAGAAAAACAAAGTTATTTCTTTTTTTTTTGTCTTTTTCCTTTTTATCGGTACCAGGGATCGAACTCACGTCTGCCTGCTTGCAAGGCAGGCGCTTATGCCGCTGAGCCAAATCCCCAGCCCCACAAAGTTATTTCTTAAAATCCTTGTGAAGCATTTGACAACAGTGCCAGCATAAGGATCTTTAAGATTAAATTCTATGATACTTGGTAGAGAAAACCCAGAATGCTCTTCCCCTCTGGACCAAGTTCTTTCTGTGAAAGAATACTGAGAACTCTCTGAGCTTCAAATTGGCACTGTGGTCCACTGTTCTTAGGTGGGGAAGGTAAATGAAGGATCCTAATCTGTGGTTTGGTTTGTGGTTGGGTTCATGGCTTCCTTCATCCTGGATAACACAGAAAGATTAGACTTTTTGTAGGGTTACTGCCCCCCAGTTAGAAATGCTGAAATGAGGGCCTGGGTATCCAGTCTCATAGATGTCTTGGAATAAGAGGAATCACTGATCAGACCATTTTTAAAGAGCAGCTCTTGATATTCTGCTGTAACTTGAGATGAAATCTGAGAAATCATGTTTATTCAGAGGAGGCTTTGGTAGACACTGGCCTAAGGACTGCCCTGCCTGGCACTTTGCAAACAAAGAAGTTTCCAACTTTTCTAAATGGTTACCTTTCAAATGCAAAGACAAATATTTACTATATGGTACTCTACAGAACAAGTTTGTTGACCTGAGGCTTAGATGAAACTGAAATTCACAGAACTGAAGTTCATATGCATTTTCAGAGGGAATAAAAATTTCTCTGGGTCCATCTATGAACCTTTCCCTTTTTCTTTTTCGGATTCTATATAAGAGGTGGTCTTGTTTTTCGGCAAGCTGACATTAATAACATGGGAGCAGCCACCCGTGTTGGTAACTTAAAGTCCCCAAAACATCCCTGGCAAAACCAAACACCTTAACGGCAGCAGCCCTGGACGAAGCATGTGGATGAGGGACTGGGAAACAGGCTGCAGTTCAGCCCCATCTGCTATTAGCTTCGTGGCTTTTCAAATTATTCAGTCTCTCTGAACCCTAGTTTTCTTCTCTGTAAGATGAGACTGGTCTCCCCTCCCGTGGCTGGCAGTCTAGCTGAAATGTGCAAGACACAGGGGAGCACTTTGTCAGTGACAAAGCTCCCCACTGGCTGTTCAGGCCCTCCTTATGGTGAAGTGCGTGCTCTTTCTTATGCCTGGATTCTTCACTTACATTCACATAACTCGCGTTAATATAATCTTCATGGCCCTGCAATAATACCCGGGTGGTGTCATCTGTGGGGGAGAGGAAAATTTACCGATTATTCTAAGCGTTATTTTTGTCACACCAAGTAAACAAGGGTTCAGTTCCCAGCCCCATCTGCAGCTCCTGCCTCATTAGCATAAACACTATTCCCCAACTGTTCAGTCTGAACCGGCTGCGGCAAAGATGCCGGTGTTTACAGACACACTGAAAATCGTTCCAGAATACCAGGCAATCTGGTTTAAAAAGGGAAACATTATCTCAGTGCAGGGGGGAGGGTGCATTCGTGCTGGATACTCACAAGGCAGAACATCTTTGTATCTGTTTTTGTCCAGATTTTGAGGCAGCTTTGCACAGGTGATGGCCAAACCTGGCTTCTTTCTGTAGAGTTGCTGTACGACAAATAGAGAAGTAAAATCATTGCAAGAAACAGCTATGAAGGAAGCCTCAAGAAATACTTTTAACAGTAAAGTTTACCACATGTGGCACCAAAATCTTAATGTTTTAAAGTAATTATATGTTACATATTAAAAGACAATCTTCTCAAAAAGAAATTCTATAATTCTAGGAGAAACCAACCAATTAAATCTTTAATTAAAAAAAAATTTTTTTTTTAGATTTGAGGATTTTGAGGGGAAAAAAGTCAAAGACAGGGATGAGTCACAGATAATGGATCCTGTTAAGTAAAACCTTATCTTTATGACAATTACTTGACAAACGCTAAAAGCATGTAGAGGGGGAAAAAAGAACTGTCTCACAATTAAATGGAAATCGTCTATCTAAATTAGTTTGAAAACCCCATTTCCCTCTGATTTGATGCGGCAAACTATATTCTCTGTTCAAAAGTGGGAGCATTTCATTCATCATTTCAGAAGTGTATTTCTACAGTAAAAACATTTATCCCAACACAGCAAGCTTCGTTTAAAGAGCTGTCCCCTACGTATGCAATCACTAACTGAAAATTCGAAACAAATGATGTTTGCTACCCACCCACAAGCATGTTGCAGTACCTGCCAGGACTTTCCCCACCATGTGTGAGAGGTGTTGCAGGGCCCTCATTTGGCAAGTGACAGCCTGACATTAGATGCTTTGACCAGGATCACAGACAGCAGGAGGAACTCAGACTTCCTGCCAAGACTTATGTTTTGTTTTTTGTACAGCTGTTTCTTCTACCCTGAGAGCTAAGTCCCTTTTCACTGGTGGTTCTTACAATCTCTCTGGAAATTTAAAAACAACTTTCTTTTTCCAATTCGGGCAGTAATATTTTTCTTTTGCAGAAACTTTGAGAAATTCAGGCTAGTTATGTGGAAAAAAACTATCAGTAATTTCACAACTCTGAGAAGACCTTTTCATATATTTTTCCATCTTTTCTGTACATTGATGCACATAAAGGTATGTATATATATATATATATATATATAAAGGTACATATATATATATATATATATATAAAACATGTATGCACTACATTTTTAGAAACAAAAACTGAGACTAAACTATATATATCGGCATTTTTCACTCTACATTCAATGGAAAGTGAATGCCTTAAAAGAAGATAATATTCTGGGCATTCACCCCTGAGTTCAAGCAATCTTGTCAATGACAAAGTGACTGTTAAAGTTATAACTGTATTAAATTAATGCTAATAATTTGGAGATTTTACTTTATTTTTGGCTGCTTGGGTAACTTTAGCCCTTAACCAAGCATATGGTTTTTTGGTTTTTGTTTTCCTTTTAGGTACAGTGTAAAATATTTGGATATTGGAAATATATTATTCTTACAGCCTTGATATTTAGGGTGGATTCTAAAATATAAATTTTTGTGAGATTTCAAAGACTAAGATTGTTTTGATTTTAAAAGATGTTATCATAAGTCTGTTGAGGAGAAAAACTACTGCATAAAATCACTAAGTTGGAATAAATATTTTGCACTGGTTAAAAATAAAAGAAGGTAATATTCTTCAAAAAAATGTTTCAAAGTTGAAAAAGTTCGGCAAGTCTCTACCTTACATTCTATGAATCTCTAATAAGCAGGATCTACAAGCGCACAAACTTATATGATCAGCCAAGGATTTCTCAAGACAATCTGGCCCTGCAGGACCTCAGCATGTCACAAGTGTGAGATGCTGGGAAACACTTCCACCGTTTTGTTTCTGCCTTTTCAGAGGAGACAGTGGTAGTTCAGAGGAGACAGTGGTAGTTCAGAGGATCAATTTCAGGGCCTCTGCACTGAGCTACTTTGCCGGCCATTTTTGTCTTATTTTTTATTTGGAGAAAGGGTCTCACTAAATCACTCAGTTTCCTGGGTTGGGCTTGAACTTGTGATTCTCCTGCCTCACCTCTCAGCATGCTGGGATTACAGTGTGTGTGTACTCCCACACCCAGCTCCCCACCAAAATTCTGAAGCCCATTTCCCCTTGCTTATTATGTAAGTGTCTAGTGCCCAAGCCATTAGATATTCTCTACACAGATCATTTTTAATGGCTCAATAATTTATTTTATTATAATGTATTTTAACCTTATTTTACTCTATCTTGTCATTAGGCTATTTTATTTATCTATTTTCTGTCTTTTTGAGACAGGGTCTCACTATGCAGTTCAGGCTGGCCTTTGGCTCACTTTGCATTCCAACTGGAACTTGCAACAATCCTCCTGCCTTAGCCTCCAGAGTGCTGGGATTACAGGAGTGTACCACCATGCCCAGCTCAGTAGGTTACTTTCAATTCATAAATTTAACAACAGAATTACAGCACCAAAGCATATTTGCAAGGACTTTGATACATAAAATCAAGAGGCCACACAAGGATGTAGAAGAATTATTATGGTCAGTATCTTCAACTATAATGTCTCTGTGTTTTGAACAGGGAGGTTAGATACTATCTCTACCGTACTTCTATGGTTTTGCAAGTTGCACTGTTTTATAAACTGGCTTTTGTTAGTCTACTGTTATTAAACAATCTGCCAAGAACTCACCACAAGATAATTAATATGGAGATTTGAGGTCACTAATAATGCTATATCTTCTTTTGTGGGGATTGGGGATTGAACCCAGGGCCTGCTCACTGAGCTATATTCCTAACCCTTATTTTTTGAGAAAGGGTCTGAACTGCTAAGTCAAAGCCAAGCATGGTGGTGCATGTCTGTAATCCCAGCACTTATGAGGCTGAGGCAGGAGGATCATTGTGAGTTTAAGGGCAGCCTGAAATGCATAGTGAGACCCTGTCTCAAAAGACAAACAAAAATTGTATAGGGAACCTTTTAGAGACCAAGTGCCAAACCGCAATGCAAAATCCACTGATTTATTGCAAAGTGCCAACACTGCAATTAAACCTGAATACTGAAGTTTTAGTTTAGAAAAACAACTCTCCGCTAACATCTTTTGTCTTTAAAAGAAAAATGCAATAACACAGTAAGGAGTGAGCCACAGGTTTGCCACCACTGTGCTAAACTGTCCACCTGGGCTCAAATTGGTGATCTTTCTGCTTCAACTTCCAAGACAGCTGGGATTACAGGCATGCACCCACCATGCCCGGCTTAGAAATACTGTATCTTCTACATTTACTGAATGTTTTGAATTTCCAAAGGCTCGGAGAGCTCAGGTATTGACCACCTGTACAGTTTCAGTTCCTGGCAATCCAGTAGCTGCTAAACAACTTCCTGAACACCTGCAGGCTTTAATGGACTCTGACTTCACTCTAGAAATAACCACATGATTTATTGGAGGTTTGATTTGGCTCTGGCAGAAGGATGACATCTGAGCCAGCCACATTTATCTAAATGGCATTTTAGTCCTAACTGCATGGAGGTACAATCCAATTAAGGAAATGTAACTTATAAATCAAACCTGGAAGAGGAGCTATACATCTATATAGATATACCTATATATATGTAACTTTTTAAAAATAGCAAAAGTGTAAGTGCAATCAACTTTAAGTCTATCAGACAAGTGTAGATCCAGCAAAAGGCTTTAAGATTTTAAATGTATCTCAGTAGTAATGATCTATTTGATAGGACTGTACAGTAGTAACAGAAATTTACTATGTCACTATTCAAAAAATTTTAAATGTGTCCTCTCTGTGTTTCATCTAACAGAAATACATCATGAATCATGTCAGAAAAGTTTATCTATAGCACAGTATTTTTTGCAGAAAAACAGATACAGCCTGAACATCTCCTTACAAGGAAAAGTGTTGACATAATTGTGGTACAATGATACTACAAAATTCTGAGCAAATAATAAAAAAGATACAGTAAAAACAGGTTTAAGGATACCCATTCATCTATTCTGAAGCAAAAACTGCATGTTATCCAATAATATGTACAATGGTGAGCCCATGAACACATGTAGTATATACAATGGGTATATGCACAATGCTCTGTGCATGTATGCACTTGTGTGTATTATGCATACAAAATATATTTGCAGGAATACCAAAAAAGTATGGAAGGAGACAGACCAAATTGTAAATTATAACTAAGAGGAAGAAACTCAATAGGATGGCAGTCAGAAGATTGCTACTTTTATCTCGGCTACCTCTATGTTATTTGGATTATGACAATGACTTTTAAATTTAAGTGAGAAAAAGGAATACCACAAAATAAATATATATAAAAATTATAAAGTACATAAATTTTAGAGAAAGCTGAGTAAATACATCTAAGTTAAGGTTTTTTGGCTTTTAAAAGGTTTGATAACACACTCCTGTTTACATCCACTCTGCAAAGGTTAATACTGAGCAGAACCAAAGCAATCTGTGGTTTCTTATCTCTGAAGTGCCGGAAAGCTGGCTTTCCAGCTACTCTGTAGCAACCACACTCCCCCACTGTGGGCTACTGTGCTGGTGGGCAAAAACTCTCCAATATGAGGGTGACAGTGGAAAGGGATGTGTTGGAAACACAGGTCCATCTTGGGAGTGCCGGGGTCAGAAGAGAATTAGTCAAGGCTTGATGATATTGGCCAGAGTTCGTTTGAGACAAGGTTTTAAAGGAACTACTCACTGGAAAAATACACCTTGCTTTACTTACTCCCAGGTTGCAGGTGTGTAAGGCAGAGAAGGGCTCCTAGCCACAGGTCCCCAAACCCTGTCCTAGGAGGGGACAGCCAGGAGGCTGTAAGGCAGGGTCAGAGATGAAGGATTCTAAAACCACTTAGTCTTATGCAAAACTATTCATCTTTATGTCCTAAAATGCACTGATCCGATCCTACCAGAGTGTCATTCTAAGAAGCTCTGAAACTAAAGGTAAATTATGAAAAGCATGGCTGAGAAGGGTTGCTAAGGAACAGCAGTATTTAAATTACAGCATCAATCTCTCCAGCTCTGGCCTCTAAAGACAAAATTGGAGGCAGCCCAGGTGGGACAGATCGTAAGCCCGTGGGTTTTGAGTTCAAATGT